TCTGTTAGACAGTCTTCATAACAGTATTTTATTATTCTTTATTAAAAGAATTGTTCAGAATTATTTATTTTAATAAAAACGTGGCATTTGTCATACGAATTATTAAATACAGACGAAACTTCCTTTATTATTTGGTACTATTTAATAATTAGAATGTGAGTGTGACGATATCACTTGTTTATCTAGTTTGCGTAGACAGTCTTTATATACTGATACTTTATTCAAGGAGACAATATTTTTAGATCAATGTTTATGTAGAACACCTTTTCCATATTGTTTAGCCCATATTTTGAGTTTAAATCAAAGATTCTATTCCATCTATAAATCAATATTTGTATAAATTTACATAAAATAAATACGTAGCGTTAATTAAAGTTCCGTAGCTCCCAAAACAGTGTCGTGGCATCCGCGCGTTCCTCCATTCGTCGTCACTCGCATATTCAAATTCCGTCGTTCGCAGTTCCAAATATTTCACTTGATTTTTCCCCCAAAAAATTTGCGTATTCCACCAAAACGCGAATATTACAGTGTCAGATGTACCTACACAGCGTCCGTTTACAATCGTGAATTTTCAATTTATCCAATGTACCAATTCAAAGCAAAAAAAAAAGAGAAAAACTTGCGCCACGGTACCCGGCTCGACAATTTACAAAATTTACGTTCGTGAAAACTGTATTTTCACCCGGTACCGCTTAAAAATTGCAGAACGAATAAACTCTCTCCAACATGATAAAATTCATTTATGGAAACGGAGTCAAAGCGATGATCGAGGTTTTCAGCTGGTTCTGGCGTTGCGAAATTCGCGTAGAGTCACGTTTATAAAAAGCCGTGGTTAGATCGTTTTCGTGTTTATTTGCCCCGTTTGGCGTAGCCACATGCCAATCCATCGGGGGAACGATCTCGCGATAACCGCTCGTTGGTGCGTCTACGTGCGTTGGCGACACTCCAATCGCAACGCCAACTCCACCTGGAGATATTTCCGCGTATAATCTCGATCTCTGATTGTATCCCTTGCGCAGATTATGTTCCAAAGCGTGAGAATCACAGAGCTGCCGACAGCGGTGTTTCCGTCTGCGATCGCAGAGGTTCGAATGGACGACATTTGGACCAAAGTGATACGGAAGGACGCGTTCTGCGCCATGACGATCTACAGCGTGACCATCAGCAACGCGTCCATTTTGGAGATCGAGACCGGCGCTTTCAGCGACAGAGCCCTGATCCAGAGGCTGGAATTCGTCGACGTCAGGCTGCAGAGCATCGAAAGGGGAGCGTTCCGGGCTGGTCACGACAACCTCACCATTCAATATTCGAGGTGAGACAACATGTTTAGCTGCGTTTTTCTTCAGTGAGTTTGAATTTTCATTACTGCAGTCCTGGGTCGACATTCTTGCGTTGATTATCATGATAAGTCGTTTAGTATACGAGCCCATCATTCGCCAAAGTGATTGAGTACACAAAAATGATTAAAGAAATTAATTTTAAATGTACAAAGTTAAGCACCAATCAAGTGTTTCGGCACTAGAATTCGAAAAAGTTCAGAAAATGGAGTTAGTCGCTTTTGCCTCTGAACAGCTATGACCCTGACTAACTATAGTCACTGAATTCCTAATAAATCGACTATCATTGCAGGTGTCTGAAAATGACTTTGATATCTCTAAAAAAAAGAAACGTCGCGAAAACAATCATTTTTGTGGCATTATATGTACCCCACTGAACCATAGAACTTTGTCCTTAAGACATTTAACATACTTTTAGAAACAACAAAGATTTTCGAGGTCCCAACGTTAGCTGACTCGTCCTGTATAGATGTACAAATTGTTCAAATTGTATTGCTTTTACACGATCACTACTTTGAACAATGCAGTAAGAGGACACTTTTGGCATGTACGCGTACATGACCTTTGAGTAATATTAGTTAAATAGAATAATAATTAAAGCGCAACATAGGCTGACTTATACTGATCAAGAATTCAGGACAAATACACATACACGTATATTATTACGACAGAATTGAACATGTATGTTACTAATGTAGGCATCGGACATAGCAATGACCGAATCCTAAAGTCGGTAGAAGATCATCTGGCCGATGTCTGATAGTAGAGCTATTCCCAGTATGTGGTCCTACTTATTTTTAGCTTTATCTGCCTTAATTTTTTAAATTGCATTTCTTCGATTAGGATACCTTGACTTATAATGAATAACAATTACATTTTATTTTGACTGTGGGGACAGTCATATAATATTTTCATTGAGGAGATTGAGAAGAACACAATCAAAACAGAGTATTATACTACTAACTATACAGCAATATGTTTCAGAACCAATGTTAACCAATAAAATTCTTCATCATAAACTGTATTGCATCCAGTCGTTAATGGCTCACAAATTGAAGACCCGCCGCCGTATTATACAGCTACTTATTACAATACATTACCGCGAGAGGCCCCGGATATGAGAGTAAACGGTTAATCATACGCCGAGATACACCTAATTAAATACCACAGGAACGAGCGTACACATACACACGCAGTTATCTTCCTCTTCGATCGAACTCCCTGCGACGTTCTCATTTTTCGACTACCTTCGGTTCAATCAGACACTAACACTTTACTTCTGCAGGCTCTCCGAAGTGGAGACTGGCGCCATCGACATATCCGCAGCGACGGTTAGCTTCAACAACAACGAGTTCCAGAACCTCCAGCAGGGAGCGATCGTGCTGCATCAATGGAACCACATAGCGATCGATTACAATCTCTTCGTGGACCTAAACACTGACGCGATCACGGCAGAGGTGGAAGCGACTTCAGCCCCAAACTTCGAGTTCTCCTTCACGGGGAATCACATACACAAAGCTAGGCCAGGCTCCCTGAAATTCGCCGCGATCTCGCAACGCGTGAACACCGCACGCGTGGGCAACAATTATTTCAAAGAGAAATGCCGATGCACCCTGGACAAGTGGATCCGCGAGGTGACCGGGAAGAACAGCTCGGTTTCGTGGATGATGGATTCCAGTTACTGCGTGGTCGATCAACTTCTGGACAAGTGTTTCAACTTGCCCCAGGGTTACATGTCCATGAGGAACTTTACGAAGGTGATCTGCATGCCTGGCGACCACATCTACTGCGAGAAACCGTCCGCCAAGCCAGAACCGAGTGTCAGTCCGCCCAGTGTCGGCCCTCACGTGTACCCTAGGCACAAGGGTTACTTCGACCTAGAGATGAGCGACTCGGACCAGTTGCAACGAGAGAAACGGATCATCGTGGTGATCTGCGTGGTGGCGGTGTTCACAGTCCTCGTTGTCATTCTTGCCTCGGGTATCCTCTACATGCGTCGCAACGGTGTTTGTCCAAAGTTAACGTCCGGTCACTTAATGAATCTCGCCAGCTTGTTCTCACCCAGTAGCGGAATGACAGCTGCTACGTCAGCTAGGTCGATATCAAGACTGAGCGTACACGAGTACGCTGGTCTTCAACCCGAGACCAGAATCCTAGAGGTAGAAACGCAGCCGGAGGCAACAGAGGACGAAGAAGAAGACGCCGAGGGACTCTATCCATACACCGAGACCAAGGCCACGCAGACCTTACCGGAAGAGCTAACAGAGGAATACCTGAGGGATCTCAGAGAAAGGCTGAACGATCCTGATAATTATAACCAAGCCAGAGACATGATAGAGCACCTCTACGATCTGATAAAAGTAGAGGAGAGCTGCAACAATAATAATGACAGGCAACCGTCCGACAGGGAGGAAAACGCGTACGACGTGATCCGACCGAAGCAAAGAAGAAAGGGCCCGCCCAAGCCCACCGTCAGCGTGGGCACCAAAGTGCCATCGTTAGAGAAACTACTGCCAGGTGGTATACAACCCAGGCCACCGTTGACCGAGTACACGGAGCCCAGGGACCAAAGAACGAACGAACAGAATCATCTCTACGCGGAGCTACCCGGTGACGAGACGGTACCCAGCACCAGCAGACTGTCCCAACCGATATTAGCTACCCTAGCGGGACGAGCGCCGCAACCACTGCCACCGGATGTCGTCAACGATCATCTGATAAACGGTCATTCGAGCCAAACGTACAGCACTCCGACGACCGAGAACCACAGGCCACCGGACAGCCCGAAATTCGAACCGATTCGAAACCAAGGCAGGCCGATGAGCTTCCTGAAGGCTCTCGGCGAGAGTATCCTAGGTGGCTCGAAGACTGGCAACAACAAGAGGCCAAATTCGCTGCTCTGCGAGTACGCGGAACCGTCCGACGCGACAACCCACCTCTACTCGGAACTACCTGAACCCCAAACCTTGACCCCAGCGTGCAAAATGGCGAACAGGCCGCTGCCAACCAAACCCGACCAAGATTCCGTGAACATGGCGAGGGTGTAACGACGCCCAATGCCGATTGTCTGTGATATAATGTGTGTGCGTGCGTGTCGAGAGCGAAAACTGAAAGGATGTTCTCTCGTGGTTCTTGCATATTTCCTAATTCGTGCTTGCTGACCAAGCGTGCGGTGTGGTGACGTACTACCGTGGATGAATATTGCTGAGGAGGAACCAGGACCGTCGGGTTCTCTCGCGGGACTATTTTTAAGCGTTGTATAAAGATAGGAAAATTGAACGCGGAGTAACGTTTCCGCCCCGGTTTTGTTGTATCTTTTTCTAGTTCGCGCGCGGAGTATGGCTGAACGGACGACAATGGTCGAAAGATGAGTTTTTATTTAAACGACTGGAAAACCGCGGATGTATCATAGAATTTATATATATTTGCTTCGTCAGGTATTATTAAAGGAGTACTATTTCCACGTACATCGGTCTACGTTTTCTATTCGATCCCTGGATCTGCCAATTACCAAATACCTTTCATCCTGGATCCACGAAAGCTGCGAGGTATTATCTGTGGATACGATATCTCCAACCACGATAATTCCTGGGCTAGAGTTCCCCCCTCCCACTCGAAACTGCGGCGATACTCCCCCGACGGTGGATCAGAAATTAATCTGGAACGACGGCGGGATAATCTATGAAAACGATAATTATTATTGAAGGTGCGCTTTCATCCCGTGGTATTAATTTTCTAGGAAAGGAGTTGCCATTTTGGAAGGTTGTAAATGATAAAACAGAAGACGAAGAATATTTTCGTACAATGAAATTAGAAGCTTGAAGACCAAGAACCATAACATCCAAGCTCGGAAAATTCGATCCTTTTACGACGAAACCACAACCTGGTCGTTGTTTTACGTCCATAGGTGCCCAATTTGGCCTTTCCCGCGAGTAGACTCCGCAGCGAAGTATCTCCTACACTAGCCAAGTTTACGAGACTGGTTTCCCCATAGGAAGTCCTCGGGTACCATGGAACCGAAATGTCTTACATCGAGTTTCTGGTTTCGTTTCCCTACGGGCATATCTGCGAACTACATCATAACTAGAAATTGTTCCGAACCCAAAATCAGTGAAGATCGTGTCGCTATTTTTTCGTGGTTCATACAGTTCCATTCTTTCCATCACACTTGTGTGTCTCTTTTTTGTCGAACTCTCCTTCCAGACTTCGAAACTCGGTTTCCCTTATCTCGAGGAAATTTATAATTCCAGAGCTGTTCCCGATCTTTGGCCCACCCTCCCAGCGTTCCACTCGGTCGAGAACGCGGCTCGGGTTCAAAGGTCGAACAACGGGTATTTTTTCTCGTTCCACCAGTGGTGCTCGAACCGTCTCGTCGGGCACATCGGCGGGAAACGCTTCGCGGCGGTTCGACCGCCTCCGAAGCCCCCCAAAAGATATTCTTAATCTCTTTCGTTTCTCTGGGCGTAGTCGGTGTATATCCGCGGCGAGACCAAACTATTCCACGAAGAATGCGAGAGGAGCAAATAGAGGCGGCTAGCTGGGGCGGGCTGCGATGCAGCTGTTGATGTTCAAACGGCTGTTGCCTCTCTTTCTCTCTCTATCTATCTCTGTATCGCTCTTTTCTCTGTGATCCCCTCCGGTGAAAACCAGAAAAGTTTCATGGAAAAAAGGGAGGAGCGCGGTGACCGTGCGGGTGAAGTGTACCCGCGAGGGGAGGCGAAAAAATATCGGGGAAAAACGGTAGACGGTGTTGAGTGGTTTCGAAATTAATTGATCGTAACGGTTATGGGTTTTATCGACTAGTGGATATTTTATTGACGTGTTTAAAATCGATGCCTTTATATCGTGGAATTAATCTTTAATTACTCGCACCCCGCTCTGTGCAAGATTAATCGAATATGGTCTTGTAGGATCCCAATATATGCTTCTTGGCGTAACTAGTCGCATGGTGTCAGCCATTACCAGAATCTCATAAAAAAGATCTAATTGGGAAGCTATACTTATAATGTCCCCATGCGAGTAATTGAAGATTAATATGGAAATTGTTGGTACGTTTTGCATAGCTGTAGTTGTCAGTTTTTTATATTAATAGGATAGTAAGACAGTAGAAAGGATACACATTCTATTGGCGAAAGTGTACATGTTGCAGGATTTGGTAGTATGTACATTTTCTTCAGAAGTACTTGATTTAAACGTAGATCTTAAAAAGAGTTCCATTATGAGTCCTCTTCTCAGATTAAGTGTAACCTGTTTTCAAGATCAAAGATCGTAACTCCATTGAAAACGTGGTATTTATAATTCGAGTCTTTTATTTTAATATTTCTGTGCGATTATCTCCAATCTAGTAAGTGTTTATATAAATTTTCATATTCTCATAATCTTCTGGGGACAGCAATAAGTAGAAACAGCCAGTTTCCTTTAAGTTTCACTAACCACGAAATATTACTTTGGACACAGTAAGTGTGATTTAAAATATTTCTTTAAACAGCCAGATGGATTAAAAAACAAATGTATGCAAAGATAAGTATAAAGGGATGCAAATTTGTGAAATCTTCTAAAGCAAATCTGGAATGATAGTTCCAACAGCAGTAAAGGAAAACATATGCAAGGAAAGTATATCCTGGGAAATATACGAATACGGTCGGCGTGAAAATCACGTGAAGCTGCTTCGAAATTGCACGGACCCGCCGCCATTAGGGACAATGTACCGTGAAAACGTTTCACAGAATAGCCACCGGAAATCCAGCGTAACCGGGGAAACAAACGCGATTTTTCTTTCACGATCAATTTCTCCTCCTACACTTCGAAGGTTGCCATTTTTTGCGCGATCTGTCACTCTGAACCTGGTTCGGAGAAGTGTGATACCGAAAATATATCGCCCGACGCTCGTGACTATCGTTGCATCTGTTTACGGTTTCCTATTTATATGGTAAGATTGTAATTTTTCTTGATAACTGGCACAATGGCACAAACAATACTTTGCTACTGATTTTATCAATGAATTGTTATTTTGTATCTTCTATTAACTTCTTATTTTTATGTTAGTAGGAAAACGTGAAACGTATTCAGTGTTATTAATTATTAGATGCACAGTATAGTAACCGTCTATACGTAAATATCGAAGAAAAAATAGTTTGCATGAAAACAGACGTACACTGCGTGTCATCAGTATAAAACCACGTTCAAAATTTCAATCCTTATATATTATGGTTAAAGTAAAAACGAACCACTTTTTTCTAGAGAATATAATCTATTCTTTTCTGAAGAAATATTATTTCTCAACACGATTTCAGACATGACATACTTAGTTCGTTTTTACTTGAACCACAATACATCAGAATTGAAAATTTTATGGTGATTTTACAATTATGTCACACAACGTAGTATGACCTACACTTCACATGGGTAGACACTTCGAAACAATCTAGTAAAGACTATGTCAAACCCTGGAGACCAGGCACAGACAGTGTCAGATATGAGAGATTTAATATAAATTGTATCCAATGAACACGATATAAAACAAAACCAGTGTACCACTGTAATAAATCATCAAATTCTAGGCTGTCTTCAGTCTTCTCATAAAACTTCATACTTTTCTTCGAATTGTCGCACGTCCATAAAACCCGAATAAAATGCTTCTCTCAAGAGATACCGGACTGTCATGTAACAGCATCCACTAACATTAGGTAATTCAGTATCTGCATCCATGAGTCCAGGGTCGCCCTCTATCTGTTTCTGTGAGTACCCCGTGACCTTTACGTACCCATACACTGTCCATCTGAATACATCTTAAGTTTCAATGGTAAAATAACAAAACCTTCATTGTCATATAATATTCGACGTTGTTAAAGCACCATTAACAACGATACACAAAACGAAAAGGTTCGTGAACGGAAGCGTATGGTATCGTCGACACGATCCACACTCCGCGTACCGAGACAGAATAATCCGCAACGAGGCAGTCGAAGCGAGGTTCTCTATCAGGTTTCATTAGTGGGCCAATCATCTCATCACTCGCGGTACAGCCCGCGATATACAGTCGCCCGTTCGCAGTCTAACCCGTTTCTCTGGTCCCTGACCTAATCTGCGTTGCAGGATAGAGCAGGAAAATCTATTCGAGGATCCATCCGCTCGCTTCTGGCGGACGTCTCAACGCGCTGGCACGATCAGCTTATCGGGCTAACGAAATCACTGGCGGAGCCGGTCAACGGCTTATATTAAGTCCCGGATTAAACCGTAAACGCGTTTTCCATCTCGTGGTGTGCCGGTAGTCTCCGAAAACAGCTTACACGGGGATATAATGTATTGGAACATTGTAATTGGACGGTGAGATAAGGGGGGGGGGGGG